GGAGTTTCAGTAAGAATCTCTCTCTCTCTCTCTCTCTCTCTCTCTCTCCGCCCGAAGTTTAAGAATTAAGGATTATTCAAAGTTCTAACCAGTTCTGAAAACACTTTCCCATTTGGGTAAGGCTGATCCGGTTCAGACTTCTCAAGGGATTGTTCCATTTTTTGGCCGATCCATCTTTTAAAACATTGATTAAAAGTGGGGATGAAGTTTTGATTGATTCAGAGCATAAAAATGGGGCAATCCCTTGAGCATTGGGGGAGAATTTTTTTCTTTTCCTATTTTTAATGGTGGCTAGAGTGGAGTGGAGTCAGTGAATTCTGAAGGGATTTTGATGATTCGTCCTTCGAAATCACCATGGTGGAGTGGAGTCGAACCTTATCCAATCTTAGTCCTCGTTTAAGATTATGAAGCTTTCATCTAAATAACCTTCTTTTTCTCTGTTACAGGAAAGCATGCGAGGCCTACGGTCGAGAAACAACGAAACTGGCATTCAAGGTGCTAGAGACCATTGCTCTGGCTCTTGGATTGCCGGCCGATCGCTTTGATCCATACTTTGAAGAGACAATGACCATTGTTCGCTTAAACCACTACCCTCCTTGCCCCTCACCTGAGCTAGCCTTGGGTAAAGGTCCGCATGTTGATACCAGTGCTTTCACCCTACTCTCCACTGATGAGGTTAGCGGATTAGAAGTGAGGCGTAAATCCGATGGCGAGTGGCTTCGGGTCAGCCCCACACTTAACTCCTTCATCTTTGTGCCAGGAGACGCCTTCCAGGTATAATGAAAAACCCCAAGTTTCTTTTTTACTTTTTTTTTTGGGTAGTTTGACGATAGGAATCGAACTTGAGACGTATCATTGTTTGACATTAACTGCTGATTTCTCAAGCCCGAGACCGAGACCAACTCCTGTCGTCGTTCGAATTCACCCACTTGTTTTTAAACTTGGAATTCATTTCAATCTTTTTGGGTACGTTTGTTTTGTGGGAAAAAACTTTGTGAGGAAAGTCTCTCTTGGATGACTACTGCTTTCCCATGTTTATTTTCTAGGAAAGCAGAGTATAATATAATCGCCGATAAAGCATTTTCCAACTATGCTGTTCCCAAGTTGATGAGAAAGCACTTTTCCGTTAAAATATTTTCCCAAGGTGATGGGAAAGCTCCTTTTGGATAAAAAAACGCACCACTCGAAAAAAAATGATAGTCTTCTTAAAACAAAACTCAAAATGCCTTGTTGGGATTTCCAGCCTTTTGCTCTTTAGTCAATGTTCTTACAAGCAAATGGCTGTGGTGTGTGAAAATTTTTGCAGGTTTGGACAAATGACCAGTATAATGGGTTGTTGCATCGGGTGGTGCTGAACTCCCAACAGGGGAGGTTCTCCTTTATCACTTTGTTTACAGTTACACCATCCTATCATGCAATTGTGGAGCCTCTTGAAGGACTGGTTCATGAGGAAGATCCCCCCAAGTATAGGCCATTCAAGTGGGGAGAGTATCTCATCACTAGGAGTCTCAACAATTACATGAAGTTGGACAAGCCTGTTCTTCAAATAAGTGCCTACAAGATTAGAGATTAGCCCACTTTCCCCTATGAATCAATTACGAGTCCGAATCTATCTCTAGTGTCCGAATCTATGGAGTATCGGTTAATGATGTGTCCTATCGTACTCGCCTACGGTCTTAAATAACATAATGGTGATTTCTATTTTTCTGCTTTATTTCATTGTGTTTTTTCTTCTAGCCCTTTGTTTGGAAGAAGTTTATATAACGTGTCTACCTTTTAGATAAAAGTAAGGTGCACCTCAAAATCCATCGGGAAATGCTTTTTCAACATTGGAAAGCCTTTCAGCTGATCATCTTAATATCAAGATATATGGACATAAAAAAAAAGAAATTTTTTTTTTTTCAACTCTTAAAAACATTACATCTTGTAACATATTATATAGACAATCTATTTTCAAGATTTTTTCAAGTGTTTTTAGTTTGTCATGATCCACACTATTTTTTAAGCTTTTAAATTTAATAATTAGGTGTGGAAACAAATTTTTTCATGCCATCATAAAATTTTTTGGTAGAACTACATCTTCTAGCCGGTTTAGAAAGTACACCTTACTTTAATTGGTTACGATGGAGACCTTATATATATGTTATTGTATAGATACGTATCATACCATATTATCCATACGATACATATCCATACGCTAACAATATAAACTACACCCTGCCATTACGCTTCATTGTAAGGGCAAGGATTCAACAACGCATTGACAATGCTAACTAAAGGTTAATAATCCAAGGGAGCAAAATTTCTCCAAAATATACGAATTTAAAAAGGAAAGAGTTAGCGAGG